CCCCCCCTCCGCCGCTCTTCGCGCTTAGCGCATCCCAACAAGCCCATCCCAAAGCAGCCGCCGGGCGAGTTGCCTTGCTGAGGGAAGGATTGCATGATCCTTGGCACGCGTGCCCCCTGTTTGTCTCGCATCAGGAGGGAGGAGGTTAAGGGGGGGCTTGTGCAGGAGGCCGTTGCCGCAGGACCCACCTCTCCTCTCTTCGGTCAGTTGTGGTTGGCCAGACCGTCTGTTGAGTGCGCCATCGGCGCCGACGAGTCGCCAATCTTTGCGAATGCGGAGTTGGGGCAGATCCAGCCCTTCTTGTTCGACCAGAATGGGCCGCTGTTTGTGGGCGGCCCCTGCTTGCCCCCCCACTTCTGCTGTTCCTGCTCGCGCTGGTTGGGGGATTGCAGAAGTGTCATAATCAGGGGAACTGGTGAGAGGCATATTCGGACACGTGCCAGCGGATTGCCCTCAGCGCGCGTCGCGCGTAGAACACGCTGCCCTGTTCCACTGTGCTTGCAGGGCCCCAGAGGACCAGCCCACGGTTGATGTGCATGCCGATTGCGCTGCCTTGGTCAAAGGCTGTGCACCAGAGTCCCGTGCTTGGGATGGCGCACTACTATGGGTGATATCTGGCGTTTCTTGAAGCAGGACGTCAAGGGCCCCGTCCAGGTTCACAGAGGCAAGGCCCATGGCACCCTCGAAGGCCTCGCCGACCCCAGGGAAATGTTGATCTTTCGGGGGAACTCTTGGTCCGATAAATTCGCAAATAAATGTGCGTCTGTTTTCCATATGCCCAGCGGTTTGGATCTAGTGACCACTTTAAAATACAAGTTTCTGGTTGTGCTTTCGGCCATGCCGGTTATGTTAAAATCGTGGCCTTTCGCCCGACAGCTGCATGGTCAGCTCGAGCGAATCCCTCGTGCCCCGCGGCCCCATGGCCTGTCTCGCGCGCATCGCCTGAAGTGGGACGGGCGCAGATGGAGGCGCGTCCAGTGTGCCAAGTGCTTCCGTGACCCATCGAAAGCCACGGGGATCTGCGGGGCCCTCACCTCTTCCATGCAGAATCTTCTTAGAGTTTTGCGACGGCGGGATCGCGCGTGGATGGTCTCGCGCACTGTTGTGCACCAGTCGCCTGTCCTTGTTTGCAATCGATGTGGTCGTGCACATCTGGCAGCGTTGCGTCCAACCAGTTACAAACACATTGCCACGTTGAACTATCCCGGCGAAGCAACCGAACAGCGATGTGTAGGAGCATAACTGGAAGCATTTCCCTCCAGATTCAGATGAGAATCCAATTGTAGAATTCTCCTGTTTCTCGCAGTCGTAGTCGCATTCGCGATGACAATCGCAGTGACAACGGCAGTCGCAGTCACAGCCTCAGCCTCGGCCTGCCTCAGCCTCAGCCTCAGCCTCAGCCTGCCTCAGCCTCAGCCTGCCTCAGCCTCAGCCTCAGCCTGCTTCAGCCTCAGCCTCAGTCTGCCTTCAGCCTCGGCCTCAGCCTCAGCCTTCCTCAGCCTCAGCCTGCATCAGCCTCAGCCTCAGCCTCAGCCTGCCTCAGCATCAGCCTGCCTCAGCCTCAGCCTCAGCCTGCCTCAGCCTCAGCGTCAGTCTGCTTCAGTCTCAGTCTCAGTCTGCCTTCAGCCTCGGCCTCAGCCTCAGCCTGCCTCAGGTTCAGCCTGCCTCGGCCGCAGCATCAGCCTGCCTCAGCATTCAAAATGTGGCCCAGGAGTGGAGTTCTGGGAACTAGAAGAACACGAGGTGGCCTACAGTTGGCTCCGGGCATTCAAAATCATGCCCAGGAATGGAGTTCTGGGAACTCGAAGGCCACGGAGTGGCGTACAGTTGGCTCCGGGCATTCAAAATGTGGCCCGGAAATGAAGTTCTGGGAACTCGAAGAGCACGAAATGGCTTACAGTTGGCTCCGGGCATCCAAAATGTGGCCCGGGAGTTGAGTTCTGGGAATTCGAAGGCCACGAAGTGGCCTACAGTTGGCTCCGTGCATCCAAAATGTACGCCGGGAATGGAGTTCTGGGAAGTCGAAGAGCACGAAGTGGCCTACAGTTGGTTCCGGGCATCCAAAATGTACGCCAGGAATGGAGTTCTAGCAGCGCCAAGAGCGATTTTGCGAGGATGTCCCAAGCGATTTGGGTTTCGACAGGCAGCCGCGCCGGGTCCCGCCCCGGGTCCCGCCCCGACCCCCTTGAGTCATGATGCTTTCTTTTGACCCCACTAGAAACCTATCAGTCTTCGCTGTTAGGTAAAAACCTAAGCAGCTCAGTGTGCTAAGGCGAGGTTTTCTTCCATGGCCGAAGGAGACCAGGATTTGCACTCCATGGCCAGCGCGCCATTGCCAGGAGTGGTGGGGTTTTCTGTAGGCGGTAATGACAGGCGCACCTATCCCAGCTTGCTGGTGGCGATTGCGACTTCCTCAACAGTCGCGGGGTGTGTTTTTTTCTCCTTTCTGAGCCGTCCATCCCCACATATATATATATATATATATATATATATATATATCCATTGCTCACGAGTCGCTCGTCGAATGGATTGTGAGGAGCATGAGCCGAACAAAAAGAAGAGGAAGGGGTGCAGGAGGTGGATGAGGGAGGAGGAAGGGGGAGGAGGAGGAGGAGGGAGAAGAGGAGGAGGAGGAGGAGGGGGGGAGCCTTTTGGAGCCTTGGTGAGGGTGTTCTTGGAGAGCTCCTGGGACTTTTAGGAGGCTTCTTGGATGTCTTGGGGCCATTTTGGCCGTGCAGGGCCGATCTTTGAGCGACACGGGGCTCTTGTGGGCAATCTTGGGAGCCATCTTCGGCATTCTGGGTTCTTTTTGGGACTGTTCGATATGTCGGGGCCGCCTGGGGGAAAATGCATCTGGGTGGCGACCCCCCCCCCAAGGACCACCCCTGGGACCACCCCCGGGCCCCCCCCCCGCCCCCCGGGGAAGGGACCAAAAGGGAAGGGGCTTCCCTTCGACTCAAATACGACGTTGTACAATTTCGCTTTGGATGGCACGCTTGAGAAGGGTCCACGGAAAGGCACGGGGGACGACGGATACGGCGAGGACACGAGTGTAACGACGACGACGAGGAGACGACGGAGACGACAACTCGAACGGAGAAGCCCCTCGCACACGCCGACAGGGTCGGCGGATTTGGGGAGCCCCTGAACCGTTGCCCCTCACAGTGGCAAGGTAGGGCGACGCGACGGGTGGCAAAACGCAAAGCGGGCAACACACCTTTGTAGACCAAGTGTCATACGTGGAACGGCCTACACGAGGCATGAGAAAGGAGGGAAGGGAGCGGGAAGAAAAGGTCGGGAAGCTAGGAGCCGGCAGGGATCAGGGAGGTGGAGCGAGAACGTTTTAGGATGTTTGAGAGATGTTAGCCTGCTATGGGATCTCTAGGGGGTTCTGGGGATCCCGGGGGGGTTCGAGGAGGGATGAAGGCGGGCGGGGAGGAGGAGAAGGCCAGAGGAGGGCGGAAGAGCAGAGCGAAGGAAGGCGGAGGAGGGGGACGAGAAGAGAAGGAGGCAGCTGTGAGCAGCTTCGTTTGTGGGTGTGCTGTCGATGGGAGCGTGCAGGCTGTCCCCGTCCACCCACCAGCCAGTGCTTCTATTGAAGACCACCTCGTCACAGGCTCATCACCCCTCTCACATTCAGCCCCCCTCTCCCCCTCTATTTGCCGCACTTCATTCGCCTCTGACTCCGGCCCTTCCCTCGTCCTCGTCTCCCTGCTGCTCCCCTGTCACTTTCCCGGCTCTCCGCCCCCTGCCCCCCCCCCCTCTCACCCACTCCACAATTTCCGCTTCCAGCTCTCCCGCCCTTGCCCCTTCCACCGTGCCTATGTCCATTCAGTGTCCGTTCCCTCTTACGCATCGGCGAGGGATCGAGGCTGTTGTGGGGCGAATGGCGACGACAGGGCTCCGAGGGGCGAGTCGCGCAGCATTGCGGCGTCCCCCCCTCCTCTTCAGCGTCAGGCAGGCGCGTCGGGTATCTCGGGAAGTGCCTCTCTGCCTCCCCCTGGGATCCCGCGTGCGAGGCCAAAGCGTCAACGGCCGCCAGCAACGGTGGTTCCTCGCCTGGCCTCGTACCGCCGCCCAGTCCAAGGACCCGTCGCCTATTCAGTTTCTCCCCTCTCATCTCTCCTTCTCCTCCCTCCTCTGTCAGCCATGAGGTACGGATCACTCGCTCAAGATATGCTCACAGTGTTCCAGTCTGGCGCTGGGGCGGGATGGCTCTGCCTTGCATCTGCCCTCTCGTCCCGACCCCACTCGGCGCCATTTCCCACGGCAGTTCGGCAGATCAAGCTCTTCTTGTGCATTGTTGCGCGCATCTGCTGCTCGGGCGCATAAGTATTCGGGGTGCTCTTGCCTAAGAGCTCCTCAGAGTCGCTTGAGGCACTGGCTCTCTTTGGGCACCTCGGAGAGGGAGGGGGGATGATTTGTGTGCGGGTTCTGGATGGTCTTTGGGCTGCCCTGGTGGCCTGTGGGCTGCTGGAGATCGGTGAAGCCTCCCTTTTTCCTGGGCGACCAGAGCCGAGTCCGTCCAGCCTCGCCCTTTCGATTTCCCGACGGCACCGGCTCCTGCCCTACCTCGGGGCGGCCTGACCGACCCCTCAGCAAACCGGCCCCTTACATGACGACCCCCTCGCCTCGTGAAGACGCGGGCAGGCGGCCAGGGAGGTGCAGCTTGGAGGGTGAGGGGGTTGTTGCAGAAAGGGTTCGTCACAGAAGGGGTCGGTTAGGCCGCACCCGACTGCCGCCTGCGGGTTGGGAGCGTAGCTCCTTGTCCTCCGCCGCCGAACGGACCCGTCCAACGGACGCCCCGCGACCGTTCGGTGTCTCGCTGTTTGTCTCATCCTCCCTCCTGTGCTCTGCCAGTCACCCCGTGCCGTTTACCACGCCCGGCGAGAATTGCAATCTTTCCATTTAGCGTGCACCACGTGCAGGTGGGTTGGCAGGATGAGCTCTCGTCGGGTTCTGTGGCTCTGTGGCCGCGGCCGATGGGCCAAAATGTGGCGTCATAATTTCGAACAGATTTTCACGCCCGTGTTTCGGCCGAGTTCCGGCCACGATCGCAAGCGTGAACCCGTGGGGGATTTAAATTTCCGCAGCCATTTGGGGCTCAAGCGGCCAAAACTGGAAGTGTGTCTCCCCCTTCCCCCGCGATCTACTTCGGCATTCCATTTTCGCTGGCGGACATCCTGTGCGGTGGGTCTGGGGCGCAGCTGTGACTTCAATTGGTTGCATGCTGATGGCGCGTGCCGCCTGCATATACCAGACAGCAATGAGCATATACAGCAATTGACTTCTCGCCGCTTCCTCATCGTCTGCCTCCTCGCCCGGCATCAGCTCGCGCACCTTGCTCCATTCCCCCTCTGGCGCTCCAGCGGTTCCCGCCGCCCGCGCCCGAGGACAAACACCGATGGCGAGGCTCGTGGGTGCACGGCAGGGAGGGAGGAGGGAGTGAGGAGGGGGAGGATGCGTAGAAAGGGGCGGCGACGGATGAGGAGGAGAAGGACGTTGACAGTCACAGCGATTGGTTTCCACCACCCGTCGCCCCAAATTTTCACGAACTATAGCATGGAGAAGATGAATGTACGCAGGGAGTCCTTGTGGCTGGCACCATCGACGCCACTTCGAGGGCAGGGCACGCATGGATGCCATAGCCGCCCTGAGAGAGTTGCCAGCCCAACTTATTACGCTCTGCTACTAAAGTTCGCCGATGAGAGCACTAAGATCGTCGGCAGCCTGAGCACAGTGACACGACATGCCCGGGCGGCTTCAGCGCACCAGCGAGGAGTGCTCCATTGAAGCGGAGTTTACGCAGGAGCGCGTCGTCTTGGCAATCGCAAGAGGTCCGCAGAAGAAGGAGGATGATGACCTCGGCGGGGTACCACCGCGTCTTGGGAGCCTGCCGTCGAGCCAGGAGGACCAGAGGCCGCCAGGTCGGAGCGGGCGCCAGACGTCCCTGCGGACAGAAGCGACGCGCAGGCTCGTCGCCTGGAGCAGGCGGGGGGATTCGGCACAAAAGTAGCTCCGAACCCCCAAGTCAGGGGCCACGTTGCAGTTGAAACCCATGCCACTTAAACACTCTGCTTGCCTCCTGCGTGCCTCCAGGGTGCCCTGGGTTTCTTGGGGTTCGATGGTTTTGGTGTGGAAAGCGTGACACTCCCACACCAAAAACCAATGGACGTCCTGGGGTCTCAGGGTTGGGTTTCTTGCGGAAGGTTTCTTGTGGTCGATTTCCTATTGCAATCAGGGGATAGGCTTAGGGGGAGACGCATCGACCCTTATTCGTCCACTCATCGACGACAGTGCCCCCATAGCCCACCCCGCCCAGGACAGTGCAGATGCGCTATCGGGGGCATATCGGCGACGTGTCGCACATTGCATGTCGATGTCTCCCCCACCTGAGCCGACCCCGCCCTACTGCCCCTCACCAGGGAGGACTCCTCGGCCGACAGCGCAGAGGTGCATCAGCCGAGGTGCGAGCAGGAGGAGCATGCCACGTGCCACGTGCCAAGCAGATTATATATGCAGCCCGCGTGAGATAGGGGGTACCTCCAGCACTCATCCAGGCCTTCCGAATGCAGCCAGAGTGGATGGGGTCGGAGGATTGCGCCGCATCGCCGACGCATCGGCGATGCGGTACCATCTGGAGTCCGATTTTCTCCATCCCGACGTCACAGGTGCATCGGCGATGCATCGGCGGTGCGGTGCGATCCTCCTGGATCCAGTTGCTCTAGCCCCATTTGGGATGCTTCCAGATCGACCTGCCTCCCCGACGAGGGCCTCTCAAGACACCTTGCTACGGTCGAGAAGCTGCGGAGCAACCCTCGGCCCGAAAGCATGAGCTGCACGACACACGGCCTCAGGGGCCTCGGGGCCCTCCCCCCAGGGACACCCAGTCTGCAAAGAGTGTCCACCTCCCCTCTCAGAGCCTCACCGGAACCTCTTTCGGGCCTCAAGAGACGGGGGCCACTGCAAACGGGGGTCAGCCAGGGCGCAGGATCTTGATCCTGCCGAGCCAGGGGCGCATTGACCCGGGTCAGCGTGCAGGATCCTGCAGGATATCGCTGGATTTTGCAGGATTCTGCGAAGTTTGATTGAGCCGGGTCTAGATTGACCCAGGTCATTAGATCCCCGCTTCTTGCGGGGTCCCCCTGGAGGCTCCAAGAGTCCACCAAACGACCCCATTGTCGGGCTGTCGGCCTGCGTGTCACAAGAGGGGTCCCACCCGACTCTTGGAAAGACCACGAGGGCGCAAGAGGCTGCATGATGGCCCCCAAATCGCCCAAGAGGCCGCAAGATGACCCCAAGACGACCTCCAGACAGATCCCAGCGGGACGGGAGAGATCCCAACAAAACGTGTGAGGTCCCAACGGTCCAGAAGATTCGGACGGGTGAGATCCCAACGGTCGCGAAAAGTTCTGTTCAATATTGTAATTACATGATAATCGTGGCCTTGAAAACCGAATGGAATCTCCTGAACCCTCGATGGAGCTCACACGTTTTTCGTCGTGTGCCTTTGCGATCTCAACCGTCCAATTGTCCATTCATTCATGTTTACCTGAGTACTCCGAGATGCCCAATGCGGCCTCAAGACGCTCCAAGACAGCCTCAAGTCGCTCCAAGAGGCCCCCAAGACGGCTCCAAGAGGCCTTCTAGGAGGGCGCGAACAAAAAAACTAATCATTGATACATAAGGGTTCCGACGACCCCAGAGGCCTGCAAGATAACACCAAGACGGCCCAATGGGCCCCCAATAGGACGTCAAGAGGGCAAGACGGCCCAAGCACCCCTTAAGGCGGCCCCAAGACGACCCAAGAGATTTTAAGACGGCCCTACAGTTGATGTTTTCCGTAGCCATCTTGGCTCAAGTCCATAGCCGTTTTGACCCAAGCAGTTTGGGCGTTTGGGCTTGACCAATGATTGCTGACCGTATTTGTTCGTTTGGGTCGTGGGGTCCTGCCGCGCTGTTTGCCGCACTTGTATTGGTCAGCGGATGCTGGAGTGACAGCGCGGAGGAGGAGGACCCAGAGCATGTCAAGCGAAGTGTGACCGACAAATTTTGCTGCTTCGATGACACCAATGATGCCTCAGCAATTCCAGTTGGAACGGGCTGGGTTCTGACAGCAGACTATGCGCTTTGCCCTTCTGCGCTGGCGGACCTTCGTTTCGTTGTTGGGGAGAGCTATCGGCAGGGTGTGTGGGGCCACCTCTCGGGCTTTCCAGCGTTGGGTCTCCCAGCCAATGTAGCTTTTCCGGCCTGCAGGAATCTCCCCTTCGCTGGCCCTGCGGACGATGACGAGATCAGGGGGATCACGATCCCAGAGAGTTTGTGGCGCGGCAGAGAAGAGACCCTCACGGCTCTGTGCAACGGTGCTTTGGCTGCGTGCGCCGCGAAGGTCATGGAGGCGGTGGAGAGTACCTCTGGCCCCTGGAAAGACTTGCATGGCTTCGCGCTGGAGGCGAGAGAGGTGAAGACCCATAACATTCTCTTCAGCAACACGTACTACCTCCACGGGGCTCAACACCCAATCCATGTAGATTTTGCCCAGTTCAACATCAACGTACACTTGAATGCGGGCTTGGAGGGCACTGGCACGGCCTTCTGGCACAGTTCCGACGGAAAGTGCCAGGAGCTGGTGCAGGATACTTCGAATTTGTCACAGTTTTGTGCGAAGAAGGTGCTCAGACTCCCAGATGGCGAGTCTCGAGGCATTCATGGTAATTATTCGAGATCGGTCACGTGGATTCAGAAGAAGAAAGGGCGTCATCTGGAAGTTGCGGGCCTGATTGACCGAGAGGATCTCACGGGGAACTTCAACCTGACCCAGTTGGTTTCCTATAAGCAGAACCGTTTGGTGATATACAGTGGGCATTTGTTTCATTCCCACAGCGTGCGACCAGAGGAGATGGAGCGCCTTACAGAGGATCCCAGGAAGGGCCGCCTCATGCTGATGCAGTTTCGAGCATCTCCTCTGTTGAAGGCTTCCTTGAAGGCTGCTGGCATCCCTGTGCCCGACACAGAGGAAGACGGACCTGAGGAGGCAGCACAACCAGAGGAACTCTGAGAAGTCAAAGCATAGCAGAAGCAGAGACCGCAGCAGAAGCATTCGGTCTTCGTGCCTCCTGGCGTGCAGTGCTCGTGCAGCCGTGGCACCGTGCACCCGCCGACATGGCTGGGCTCGGGCCGGAAGTGGGAGGCACGCGGCCGAGCCGATCCGATAGGATGATCCATAGGCTTACGCCACATCCGCCGACGAGGCGCTCGGGCTCGCTTTGGGGGCCTGTCGGCGCGTCTTCGGGGCCTCCTGTGTCCATCTGGTGGCATCATGTTGCGCTCCTGGTTTGTGGTGCCAGGCTCGCTCCTTTTTTGAGCTCAGGCTCCACTGCCGCTCGATTCGAGCACTGGGGGCAGGACGCAGTGCAAGGCCGCCCCTGAGAAAGACAGGGACGAACAACAAGACCAGAGTGCGACGGCGCACACTGATCAGACTCTTGCAGGCGACGGCGCCACGCAGGAGTGCACTAGTCAGAGGAATCCCCGTTTGAAGACTCCAATCTGACTAGATGTTGCATGTCATCCTCTTGACGACGTGCATCCACAACAGCACACAAAGGAAGACGCGCTAGAAGCGCTCCCCCTCGGGTGGGCACGCCCCAGGAACCCGAGGGGATGAGACGGATCCTGGGCCACGGAGTCCCGTTTGGGAGGGCCCAGGGGGGACGCAGCAGCAGGCGCAGGCAGCGCCGCGCTGTGGAGGCCCCACGGCACAGCGAGTCTTAGCGCTCCCCCCCCCCCCGACTCACCAGCCGACCCAACCCCGCTCCCCCCAGGAATCGCGGCCAACGCGGACGGGGCCACCAGCTCGTCCCCGCTGCCGAGGAAGGCTCGCGCCTCCTCCTCTTCCTCCTCCAGGCGGTGAAGACCGACACTACCCGCTGGAGCTCGAGCCCCTCCAGGGCTCACAGGCAGGGGTCCTCCAGACCCTGAGCTTCGCGAACCCACAAGCTCAAGACAGCAGAAACATCCACCACGACTGCTTTTCTGAGGCGGTTCGGGTGACACCCTTTGTTGCACAAAACTCGCCAAGCGTATTCGGCGTAACGAGATGGCTTCCCTTTGCACTTCTTGCCGAGGCCGTCGACCCTCGTTCCTGTGCTGTGGAACCTGCATCGCATACACATGAAGAGATGGGGCCCGTCCGAGCACGGAAACGCGAGGACCCTGTGGCCAAACGAAACCAGCACCCCTTCATCTAACTTGCTGCGGCCTGGGCAGGCACCGTCACGAGGGTCGGCCCTTCGGCTGCCCAAGAGACAAACACGGCAGCGCCACAGCCCAGACCACCCGACCCAATCGTGGTGATTGCCGCAGGACAAACATTGTGGCCCACGGGCAGGGGCAGGAAGCCCGGGAGCGCTCGAGAGGCCCAGCCGATGCCATTCGAGAAGGAGGCGGGCAGCAAGCTTGCACGCAGTCTCATATATATATATATACGCACACATATGTATACTTGCCTGTCTACCAACTCCATAGTTGTGGCGTCAACGGGGTGAAGCCTAACAGCGCGCTTAGCAGCCACATCTGCGCAATTGTTGCACTTACGAAAGAAACTTTCCTGAGAACTCAGGCCTGCCTTCTCGAGACTCTTGTGGGCCGCCACCTTGATGAGCTACTCAATTTTGGAGCCCTCTCTAGCATTGGCCTCTAGAAGGATCCCACTGCACACTCTCTTGCCCGAAAGTCTGGCAGGCAAGAGAAGGTTGGAGTGCCTCACAGCATTTAGACAATCGCTGTAAAGAACCGAGCTGTACTTCACAAGATTGCCCGCCATACCCCTCGCAAGAGATTCTCCCGCCTGAAAGGGGTCTGCGGGCACTGGCCCCGCACAGGACCGCTGACGACGCCTAGCAGAGCACCAAGAGAATCATGTATGGTGATAGCCCAGGCGGCCCTACAAAGCTCCCTAATCTCATGCCTCAAGCAGGGCCCGTCGAGGAACAAGTGGCCCCAGATGGCTCCAGCCTGCGCAACCTCAGGGCCCTCGGGGCCTTCCAGCACGTCCTGATACCACTAGAATTGGACCTGGCCCTCTTTGCACGGCCTAGGGAGGTAATCGGCGGGATGGGCGATGGCCCCATGGCAAGCAAAGAGGTTGACCGAGTAGTCAGCCGCCTCAGTGCCCAAAGCTGAGGCAATGACGTCTGGATCAGCCACCTCAGCTCTCGAGTCTGCGACATGAGGGCATGCTCACAGACGGTGGTGAAGCGAGTGTCTCCCACCACAAAACACACATTTGTCACTAATGACGTATCCACACATGCTGGCTCGATCGGGCGTCCATATCGCGTTGCACGCTAGAGCGCGGATCATGCCTTTGCCCCTGCCGGTATACTTACTGGAGGAAAGGGCCGAGCGAGGAGTGTCGAGGCACAAGCGAGCCCCAGCGCCCCACTTGTCCCCCGCGTCCCTTTCCAAGGATCGAAGCAGGGCCTCGCAGCAGTGGATGGCCAACAACGCGGGAGACGCAACCCCTAACGGAATGTCTCTGCCTCTATCATCGACGACGGTCAAGAAATTAGTCGTGTGCCACCCTATTTTGAGCAAGGCTAAGCGCATCGCACTAATGGGCCCAGCCACCGTCGCCCACGTGGTCCTCGGCCGAGCCCAGACGGCTTCCCATGACTCCCGCAAGTCACGGAAAGGCAAAGAACCCGAAAAGAGCCTGGCCCGCGTGAGTCATACTTCCTTGCCCCAACGCAGGATGGGCTTTGTGGCCGCGCTCCACGTCGGGTCCGAAGCAAGAATGCAGCAAGCAGTAAGGCTCCTCCCTTGGGCGAAGGGCCGCGCTTGCGAAAACGCAGCACGCCTCATACCGAGCAGGTCAACATCACTGACTCCCACAATTGCACGCCCGTAGGCGCCAGCGGCCAAGGGGCCCGCGGCCAAAATCGTGAGGCTTTGCCTGCCCAAGGTTCCCGGCGGCTTCTGGAGCCGTTTGGCCCTTTCTCCACGTGGTGGCCACACGCGCCTTGATTTTGCTCCCTCGCCCCTTGCTGCGGATCGATTTGCAAGCGGTAAAATCGACCCCGAGGGTGGCGGCAGAATTTGCCACCCGCCCAGCGAGAGACTTAAGCCTCTTGGCCACGGCAGTCCCGACGTCGTGATTCGAGGCAGCCGTGCAAAGTTTATCTAGGGCAAGGCTGCAGCCAAGCATGTTAGTGGTCGCAGTGTGAAGCGCAACAGGCCCCGAAACAATGGCCTGAATGACATTGCTCCTGGGGCCCAAAGCCGAGAGACCACAATCATCGATGTAGATGTCAAGCTCCAATATGGGAAGGGCGGGGATGGAGTCGAAAGCGCCCAGCCCAAACACGCGAATAATGGTGGTGGCGAAACTACACCCCGCCCCCGCCCCCTTCTGCACATGGAAGGGCCCCGACAGCAGCCCCCACCCAAGGATTTTATATATATATATATATCTATATATTAAAAAAAAAAAAAAAAAAAAAAAAAAAAAAAAAAAAAAAAAAACGCCCGCATCTGAAGGCAAAGAGACACACGCGCGCGATGGCCAGAGGGAGCTGGGGCTTCCTGAATTTTGCCTCGAGCATACACAAATCGATAGTGTCATAATATTTGCGTATGTCGTAGAACACCGAACACGAGCATTCCTTGCTAGCCGTGCTATGTTCAGACCGAACCGATTGCCGCCGCACTACGTCTGCTGCTCCCGGTACAATGCGCGGGGTCGGCGGCGCCGACCCCGTGCCCTGTGCCAGGAGCAGAACGCCCCTATTGGCCTGTAGCCGCCAGTGGCCATAGGGAGCAGCGCCAGCAGCGCGGCCGAAATCTGGTCGGGCAACTGACCGACGCTCTCCATGATTTCAAAAAGCAACGACCGGCAATCGAGAGCTTCATCGCACAAATATTGAAAGTGCCTGCAGTTGAACCCGTCATAGGACACAGCCGAACTCTTCTTGTACTTACGAGAAACCGGACGAATGTCGTCGGCGCTGAGGCGAGGGAGGGGATCGACGAGACCAGGAACACCGCGGATCGCACCATCACCACGACCCCAGAACGCAGAAAATTTGAACCATCCCGCCGATAACAGAGAGAGCGGATCCGACACGATGGAGCCTTCCGACGATGACGTGGTCGACGGTTTCCACGGCGACGGATCTTTAATACAAAAATGAATTTTGCATAGCACCCTCGTCGAGGCCGTCGCGAACCCAAGCCTGCCAGCTGCTGCGAGCTTCGTCGGCAGCGGTGCGCTTGGCCTCCTCAAGAGCCGCCTCGATCCGAGCGCTCAAAGTCGCCCCCGAGGCATCTCGGAGGCCGATCGGGCAAACGGAAGAAACGGCAACATCATTAAAACGATGACGGTGCAAAGCGCCCACTTGCACAGAAGCAGGCGGGGAACGATTGGGCGCTGAGCCGCCGAACCGCCCGGTAGTTCGGGCCTCTGACCTTGCGATCCCTGTTGACGAGGTTCTTCCGGAAGAGCTGCGGGCCCTTTGACCTCGAACCAAGGACGGGGGGATCCGCGCCTAGGACAGGCAACAACTCTCTCTCAGCAACATCGGCCCAGGCGGCGTAGCACGGAAAGAGCAGCGACACTGCCCCCGCAGCATCCCTGCGAGCGACACACTGGGAGGCCTGGTCGGCCAGCGCTCGCACATGCTGCCACGAAGGAGGCAGGGGCCTCGGGCCAATGACAGCCGAGTGGGGCAAATGCGGAGGTTTCCTGAAATTCAGCCCTTTAAGCCGAGTGGGCGAAGGATGCAGGGCTTCTTGGACAGGGCGATGAGGGCTCAAAGTAGTGTCCATAGGCACGTCGCACTGCTTGATAGTCTTACCAAGGCCGCCAGAGAGCACGAATTGATCGAGGGCCTCTGGAGCCCCCCCCCCAAAAAAAAAAAAAAAAAAGTGAGCGCGCCCAGGGGGGGCGACATGAACTCCAACAAGCCGCTCCACGAACTTCGATTCAGCTAAGTTCTGAGGTGACATGTTGAAATCGGCTCCGATGCAAAACGGAAGGGCGGCCGAGGACAGGCGTTCGCCCACGGCGGCAAGGATGGCGATATTCCTTTCGCTCAGCTGCTCAGAATGAAACAAATAGCAAGAGCAAGCGATGAGCTGGAGTCCTCTGGGAAGGTGAACCTCTCCTGCGACGGGCCTGCCTGAAATAACCTCCGCCCCCCCCCCCCCCCCTCGAGGCCCGCGCAGGCTTAGAAAGTCTCTGACAAGAATACAAACACCAGCAGAGGTGGATCCAGCTTCCGTGTCGACGGCAGGGGGAAACAAGCTTCCAACCGTTCTTGGCGCACCAACTCTACGCTTGGTCGATCTCCTCACCTCTCCTAAGACGATGCCCCTGCCCCAGGATCACGCGGGCCTTCGTCTCAGAGAGAAGCTGTTTCATGGTGGGCCCGGCGTTGCAATTTATAGTCTGCACGCAAAGCTCGAGCGAATCAAGCTGACCAGGGCCGAGCTGGAAGGGGCCCTCAGGAGCCTCAGGAGACGCACCACTCACCAAGGGATCACTGGGGCCACTGATGCACACGACGGGGCAGTCGTCGCCAGGCCCTGTGGCAACAGGATAAGCGGCACATGCCTGTGCAAATCCGAAAAAAACA